CGCACTCCCCCGCTCCGGATCGGCCTGTCGCCCCCGCCCGCGCTCCAGAGCCGGCTGGGAACGGCAACGACGCAGGCTCCACGTGCGCGTCCCTCCGGGTAAGACCTGCAGCTCCCACGACTTGAAGTGTGAGGCCCTCAGGCCCTTCCCGCGGAATCGGCGCCGACCAACCCCAACCCCCCTCCCGCCTCCCAGGCACCCCCGGGTCCAGGACTACAACTCCCAGCAGGGCGCGCGACACGAACCCCCTAGGCAACGGAGGCTCACGAGGCACAAGGAAGCACAACGCCCCAATCCGGTCTGTTTTACGTTCTCATTCTCCCTGTATAAACCATACACTCAACAACCCCACGGAACAGTTGTTTGATGCTCTTTCAGTGGGGACTTGAGCCAAGGGAGCGGCTACTCAAAGTGCGCATGCGTTCAGAGCAAGGTTTCCAGAAAGAAAAAAGCGGATCAAATTAGGCGAAGAAAAGATGGCGGACACTTGGCCAGAGGACCCGGAAGCACTTACCCTCCACTTCCTCCTCCTGTTTGGCTCTGTCTCACCTAGAGCCGTCCGGTCGCGCTGTCTTCGAGACGCTTCCTGTCCGGTGAGCGTCGACCGACTGAAACGGCGGCCCACAATGCATTGCGACGGCGGATAGGCGGGGGATGGGGCGGGGCCAGTGCCGGAAGTAGAACGGTGGCGGCGGCGGTGGCTCTGGCAGCTCGGGACTGAGTGCAAGGTGACTGGGAGGGTAGTTAGACCAGCCTGGCCTCTCGGGACTCCGATCCTGGGTTTCTTCCCGGGGCCCGGGCTGCCGTTCACCTCTGCCCGACTGGGAAGAGAGAGCAGCCCTGTGTCTGGGCACCTTTAGGAGTGACCTGGAGGTCACAGCAGACCTCGAGGCGATTAGGCCTTGAAGTTATTCGTAGACTGAATAAATAGGAATCATGATACTCATTTTGAGGGCAAACCCGAGAGGCGCGGGAGGCAGGGAGGCAGGGAGACCAGTCTCGGGCCCGTAGCTCGGCTCGGGCAGCCCAAGGTCAGGAGCGCAGCGCAGGTCGGCGGCCTGGCGGGCCCACCCGGGACAAGCTGACGAGTCTTCTGAACGGTTTAAGCAGGACGTGCACCATAAGAGGGAGCAGGATAATAATGACCTTTTTAAAACTTACATTTCACCGAAAAACGTTGGTGGTGCTGTTGTTAGGCAAGTTTGTAGTTGACTTTAGGAATAGTAGTGAAGAGGCAGGGATTGGACTAACCTTTGGCGGGTTCATCTGTAAATAGAGCCATGCTCCCTCCCACAGGACCTCTGTGCAGGCTCCACCTTTTTCTCTTGCTTTCTCCAGTCTTTCTGACTCTCATCCCTATGGTACGCTTTCGTGACACAAATGGTACTCGAATCGAGAGAATTTTTCGAATATGGTATTTTACAGTTTCGGCATGACAGTGAACAAGCCACACTCATTAATCAATGGAAAAAATTGAGAAGGAGCTAGTTTTGATGTGAGATTATATGTTCAATTTTTAGAGGCGTTTGTAGGACTTATGAGGGTGTAGGAGCTGTTGCATATATCGATTTGGGGTTCAGCAAAAAAGAAGTATGGTCGTCAATACTTAGATGATAGATTATTCCAAAAAATGAAAATGGATTTCACCCATGTTGCAGTAGGAATAACATGATTTGTACTCAACCTTGGAGCCAATTGTGGGAATATGGGTAGTTTAATAGCCTTTCTTAGGCATAGTTTTCTCATCTGTAAAGCAGGGATAAGAACATTTTCCCAAGAATGCTGCTGTAAGGATCCAAGGGAAGAAAATATATGAAAGTACTTTGCAAAGTAGTAAAGCTGAACAATTATGTGGTCTTATTGCTGAGTGTTAAGCATGTCTTTTAGGTTGCTGGGAGGGGAAATAGACACTGACTTGTGCAACATTTAATATATTTCTGTTGAGTCAGATCCTACTGTATAACCTTGGGCCAGGCACTTGACCTGTAAGACTGTTTCTGTATGTGCAAAACATGAAGATAAGTGGCACCTTGCAAAGTCATTTGTCTGCTTGTAGTCTTTTCTCAGTTTCCTTCTTTCTCTTTTTCTCAAGTATTTTCCTCTGGTGAAGTGTAAGAGCATTGTATTAAAAACTTTTTAATCAGGGGCTGGCAGGTGGCATGGTGGTTGGAGGCACTAGATTCTCACGGGGCCAACTGTGGTTTGAGTCCTGGACCTGGGGACTTGCTTTCTTGCTTTCCCTTTCTCTCTCTCTGCTCTCTCTCACATGCCCTATAGCCAAAACCTCTCAAAAAATAAAGAAATAAAAAACAAACAAAACAATGAAAGTGAGCAAAATACAAGTTCTAATTTTTCTTTGAGAGGTTTTGGCTATAGGGCGCATGTGCTTGCCGGAGAGACAGAATGTGAGAAATCACCCCTCTGGGGGATAGCCACCCTGCAGTCCCTTCTCCATTCTCCTCTCGGGATCTTGGGCACGCATGTACACTTGCCCAGTATGAGTTTAAGCCTCCGGGTCTGGGACTGGAACCATGGTTGACTACATGGGAGTACAGTGACATAGCCTTTAAGTCAACTGCTGGCCCCTAATTTTTTTTATCTTTAAATTCAGTAGGTATAAAATACTCTATTGAATTGTTATAGAAGTTTCTGGTGCTTATTCCTGGGATCCGTATTACTGTAGATCAATAACACAGTTTGTATAAAGATCTGATTTGGCTTTTATTTGTAATTCTAGATTCAGATAACACTTCATCCTGTTACACCTTATTTTATAGAATACAATGAATGTTCTCATGAACTGAGCAGAGAAGAGAGAAGCCTGGCTGAGGAAAGCAGAAACAAAAGAATACAAAAAGCATATTGGTCATTTTAGAGCTATTTTTACTTTTGAAGATTAAAACGGGGGAGGGAACTTTCTTACCATCACATCCAAAACTAGCCTGTTTGGGGATTTGGTCATTATCATGCTCTCCTGATCTCACCTACAGCAAGATAAATAATTTAGTTTCTGCTTGGTGGAGTGAAACTTGAGCATGAGTGACTCCATATTGGTTTGGTCTGTTGGGACTGGTACAAGAGGTCAGCCCAAACTAACAACTTCTTTGTCTCTTCTGAAATTTCTGTTTGTGTATATTTGTTGTAATTTGGAATTATTTTTTGCATATTATCTTGAAGTCACTAAGTCAGGTCTCAACAGGGATCATCTCTATTCAAATGTTTTATTTAGAAAATGATGTATTTTAGCTTCAGGAAGCTTTTTCCTTCTTTTTTAAATTCAGGCTTTTAGCTCATTTGCAAATTCTATATTTCTGATGAGGTTCTACTGCCTGATCTTCCCTACCTTCTTTGTAGGGCTCAGTTGGGCTTGTTGCTATTTTTTCCTTGCTAGTTCTTTTGGACTTTGACTTGGTTGTTTCTGTGTTCTTGAATGTCTGGAATCCTGCAGTTGTAATAACAATTTCCCTCCCTCTGGGCCTGTGAAGACGGATTCTTGTCTGTCATTTCTGGCTGAGGTAACTGTTTCTAGTCTCCTGCCCTGCTCCCTTTTGGCTTATTGAGGCTGTCGGGGAACCTAGCACTTCAGTTTGGGGCCAGTGTTCTTTTCCTGTTGGGAGTGGGCAGAGTTATTACAGCTTACCTCAGCTATTTCCTCTGCTCTGAGGCTTAAGTTCATGGAAGAAGAATCAGCCCTCCCAGATTTTCTGCCCTAATCTTAGTGAAGCCTGAGGCCTGTGTCCTTCCCAACTGCTCCTAGGTCCCAGGGCCTTTTGGTTAAGAAACAAACCTAGAATAGGGAATGAAGGGGGGGAAGGGGACTGTGGTCAGGTGTAGACTAATTTCTTACATGATTTAGTTCTGTAGTAATCAGTAGAATTAGATTCACACTGGGTGGTGTGCTTAGAGATATATAATGTGTGTATGTATTTTCTCGCAACCTGTTTTAATAGCCTATTGCTTGTTTTCAGTAACAAAGAGTCACCATGATTCTTCAGAGACTCTTCAGGTTCTCCTCCATCATTCGATCAGCAGTCTCAGTCCATTTGCGGAGGAACATTGGTGTCACAGCAGTGGCATTTAATAAGGAACTTGACCCTGTACAGAAACTGTTTGTGGACAAGATTAGAGAATACAAATCTAAACGACAGTAAGTGTGTAGATAATCCACCATGATGTAAATATAAATACTCAAAGTAATATGTTTCAGGATGGTAATAAGAAAATTCCTTCATGTTTGAAAGTATCTAAATTTTTATCTTTATTTATTTATTTAATTTGACTGGTAGGGGGAGAGAAAGTGAGAAAGCTAGCTCCCAGGTCTGGAACTCAAACTGCAGTTTGCCATGTGGGAGTCCAGAGCCCTCAACCACTATGCCACCTGCCGGCCCCGGCCTTAGCCATATTTCTAGTGCTCAATATTCAGATATGGCTATGGCAGCTACTGTATGGACTACATAGATGCAGAGTATGTGTATCATCGCAGAAAGTTCTATTGAACAGTACTAGTTAAAAAAATAAATTGAGTCCATACAAGAAATATCAATAACAAGTTCTAAACTGAAGTTGTGTATTATTTTTAATTGCAAGAGTGTGCTAACACCAGATGGAGAATGCACCCCCTCCATGGGACATGTTTGTGCAGTTATACTTTTTCCTCCATTTCTTCATCCTATCAGGACTTAGGATGTGTGTGTGCACATGAGCCCAGCATGTATTTTTAAGTCACTGGGACTGCGATTTGAACCACAGTCAGCTACATAGGATTCAGCTCCTTAAGCTCAGGGCTTAACTGTTGGCTATGGGACTGGACCTGTTTATGTGTGTTTTGTGGACATTCTTTAACATAAATGAGACGCTATATTTTGGTCATTGGCATATGCAAAAGTATTATCTTGAAGAAATTGTTACTTGTAAACTTCTTCAATTTATGAGGGGACTTCAAAATGTTTGTGGAGAATGGGATTAAAGTACAAGTTTATTTTGGTGCAAAAAAATGTTTAAATCTTTGCAATTTTCTAATAATATATATTTTCCATGAACTTTTTGAAGACCCCCCCCCTTTCTTTGTTCACTAACAGGCTGTAACTTATAATGTACACAGAAGAATATATTTGAAGAATGAATTCTATCTACCTCACTGGAGCTGCTGATGGTCCATGATATACTGCAGTTGTCTTCCCAAAACCCAACTGTAATTCTGTCATTTTATTGAGTAGCAAATAAAAATACAGACTCCCAGATATAACATCTCAGGCCTGCAATGGTCTGGGCTTTGCTGGTTTTCCCATCTGCTTAGTGTTTCCCACATAGAGCCAACCATTTATTACATGGCTTGACCGTTTTCCTCTTAGAATGCTTCAAATTAAAATCTGCCCCCATATCTGCATGATTATCTTAATTCCTCCTTTTTTATTTTTTTCTGTATTCATGATCGAACACATGCATGGGGGAGAGAGAAAGCTCTGGGTATGTTGCAGTGTATATTCACATTACGCGATTACCTTTCTCCAGTCCTCCAGCCCATTGGATCTTGGACACTCGCATGCATGCCTTGCAAGTTTCAAGCTAACAGGGCCAAGGATTACAACCATGGTCACCATGTGGGATCCAGCTTCTCTTGAGCAGCACATTACTGCTATAGTGGAGCTGGCCCAAATGCCACCCTTTTTAAATGGAAATCTCTGATTGGGTTAACGAGTAATTTGTTTGCAGTTTGAACAGGTTATTATTAAACTATATTTTTGAAGTTTGTTCCATAACCCCCTCAGAGCATATGTGTAAATACATACTATTTTTTTTCATCTAAATTGTGAAATCTGAGGGTAGGAACTAACTCGCTTCTTTGCTATCCATATTAGACTTGCTACAATCTTTTAAAAGCTATTTCGTGATGACTGATATAGAGTAGATCATAAGTACAGATAACCCAGGCTGGCCCCATGTCTTAGTGGTTCAGGGAACTAAATCCCACTTTGCGAATGCTTTTCAAATACGGGCTCCAGCAGCTCGAAAAACATGTCAGGCGTGTGTGCACGTATGCCCAAATCCCAATACAGTAGGAAAATGGAAGAGAAGAGATTGTGGCATGACCACATTTCCATTGAGAGAGACTTTCTTCCTCTCCTCTCTTTCTCTGTCATAGACACATGCCCTCTGGCAAATTAAAAGAAAAGAAGATTAAGTAACATTTACTGAGTGCTCACTGTATGGCAGGCAATAGACTGAATGGTACATGTGCATTATCTTTCATTTTTAAACACCATTTGGTAGGACTCTCATTTTTAGATGTGGAAATTAAAGTTTAGAGTGCTTCATATCTTGCTCTGGTTTATGCTTGTTAAATGATAGAGCTGAAATTCATGTAGGACTAGTCTTTGGCTCTAGAGATCATAAGACTTCACCATTACACCTTATTGCAACTTAGCTCCTGAGAGATTCTGACTTAGTAAGTATCCTTGACATCAACAAACTATGAATGTTGGAGATTCGTTTCAAGTTAGCTCTTTTATGTCAGCCTCACCAAATATTT